ATGATTTTTTTGACAACTTATTGTCGTTACTAATTAATACATTAAAATGAAGGAAGAAACCTATAGCATAATTTTATTTTATTTTTTAAAACGGAAGAAATTTATTGAATAAATCTCAAAATTTACAAGAATAAAAAAACAGTAACTATTTTAACAGGAAAAATAGAAAAATTGTTATAGAATTCTATTACAAGAAAAGCAACTATAAAATTCCCAGTACAGCTGTTGCATTTGTTGGCCCTCAAGCTCAGTCTCTGGCTTTTAATCAAAACTCACCATCTTTCTCATCGTTTGTAGTACATAGAAGCAGCTGCAGTATTTTCAAGATAACAGTACACCTGAACAGAAAAGGAGACAGACCCCTCTCTGTCTAGCTGCTGAATCTGCAAATCCTGTCTACTGATCTTGGACTGATCCTACTGTAAGAGCAGTCTTACTCCATTTTCAACTTCCATCCTTCACAGTAGCATAGCTTCAACACAGCAACACAGAGTGCAACACATCACAGAGATGCAGCACCAGCACATCTGTTTCACCAAAACACCTTAGCAACTGCTAACTGACATAGCAAAAAACAGTCCAGTACATGAAAATAATAAACTCAAATAAACTCTCACTTTCAAAGATATATTTCTCAAACCAAATCATGTGAAAATAATATTCTGATATTAGCATCGTTAAATTGTACGTGTACAACGCGTCATCATCAAAGAATAAGAATGAACAAAAAAAATTATTGCATAACAATCAAATCTCAAGTCTCAACTAAATATTATTTTTTGACAAGTTATTAGATCTTTAGTCTTGAAACAAAAAAATTAAAAAGTGACAATGAAACAATAATTAAGAAGCTCCAAAACAGGGGCACAACCCATCGACATGTGGGCCATAAAAACAAAAGGAGCTAACAAAATATACCTGAACACTCCATCTCAGAGATCAACAAAAGAACTTCTAGACACAGAGAACAACTCTTTGATCAAAAAAAGAGAAGACTCCACTACAGAAATCTGAGCATAGAGCATATTTCAGGGAAGCTTCTCTACTTGCTTAGAGGACCAGTGACAAAAAATATGAACTAACACAGGATAAATATCGAGCAACTAGATGAAGAAGGATTCTGCATCAAAACAATAAAAAGCCTAAAATTCAAGGCTTTAATCACTCCAAAAAAAACCAACCAATTTGTATAGTCTTCAATCCCCCTGTCTAGAAACATGAAGAGGCAGTATAACAGTCTTCTTCCTTAAAACTTTGGTACTCTGCTGATCTAGCTGCTGCAGCTTCCTGGCCTGATCAGAAATGTTTAACAGACAGGAAAAATCAGTAGGATGAAGGGTCGAAACCCATCACCCGTTAGAAAAGGAAGCCCTATCAATTACATATTAAAATTGCATGAATGCATATTGATCATAAACCGAAAGCACATATATTTAATCACTTATAGTGCTTACATCAACTACACGGTGTAGGAATAAAAGAAGGCTAGTGGCATTGCAGTTTTGCCTCGATGCGGTCATTAGAAATAAATTGTTGTGTTGTATAAACATATATCATATGTGACGCCATTATCGTACACAACTGGATCTTGAGACTCAGGATCACCCTAAAATAGATCAAAACACCACAAGAATCATAAGTAGTTCCGCTTCAGCTGACTTTACTCCTCAAACTAAACAGTTACAATTGAAACAGAAAATGAGTAGATTCAAGTAGATTTCACAAAGAAACCTCGTATGAGAATTGCAATTTATACAAATCATCAGCAAACATAAGCTATCTCTAGCTTAATTCAATGTTACAAATCTAAAATTAATTTGAAATCTAAGTAAATGAAAACTCCAATTCAGCTTCATTGAATCACTAATCTTATTAATTCAACAGTTTTCTATTTGAACATGAAAGTGTTCCAAATTCAGGTCAATAAAATACAGCAACTACACATAAGGTTAAACAAAAACATAAATTTGTCATAAATTAGAGATCTTAGTTTTTTTTAAAAAAAAATCAAATTCACTTCAATAGAACACCTGGTAATCATGCCAGACCAGAACGCGGCCCTTGATGTCGAGAAGAAAAAGTGCACACGCAGCCCCAGCCATCGAGCTTAGGGTTTCAGATTCCGAGATCGGAGATCAGATCGACATCGTTAGAGGTTGATGAGATCTGGAAGTATTTCTGTAATTAGATGAAATTGAGAGTTTTGAATAAGGAGATTAACAGTGTGGTGGTGGCGATGGAGGTGTCTTTGAGGGAGTCTTCAAATCAGTTGGAATCGTGACGGAGAAGGAATTGAGAGATCGACAATGTGGTGAAGGTGAATGTACTATTAAACACCCAAATTTTGTATAGTGTACTAAAATTGACATTCAGTGGCAAAAAAAATAAATGGCCGCTAAAAATAAGGCATAGTTTCTGCAACTGAAAAATGTTATCACTAAAATTTTATATTATTAGTGACTAAATTTAAATTATTGTCACTAAATATTTGGAATTAGTGATGAATTAATAATGTATTTTTGTTGCAACATTTAAATTATCACTAATTAGATTCATTATCATATCTTCAGTGACAACAATACTTTTTCACCACTAATTACATATATGTAGTAGTGACAAGTAATTATGGCAATTAAATAATTTTAACATCATACTTTCAATGACAATAATAATTTTTTGCCACCAAACATATTCATTCAGTGACAATATTTGTAGCTACAATCTAAATTTAGCGGCTAAAAGTTATTTTTTTTGTAGTGAATGTCTATAAATCGTATCGTGCTAAATTTATTTAATCTATGCTCAACGTAACACAGTTATGGTGTTTATATTGTCCCTTTCATGTCGTATCGGATTCGTATCATATATATAGGTAAGTTCATGTTGATTGATTTCTTATGCGGGTATGGCAGATGAATCTTATTATAATTCAATACGTTAAGACAAAATCTATACCATAATTTCATGTGAGCTATTAATAATTGTCAACCCCGAATATTCTCTAACAAATAATTAATTATTCTTAATTTGGTCACTTTCTTTACAAGTCATTCTCTTACTTTACAGATAAGGCGTGGCTGTATTTGCTGCATTTCATTTCACTCTCACTTCACTAATTCCTATAGTTTATTCAAGTCACGAGTCCATTAGCATAAAAGTCTAACCAAAAAAACTATGTTTTAATATGATCCAAAATGAGTCCTTCCTCAGTTGCTATGTCGGATCAATATTTATTATTATGCAAAAAGGTGTTTATGCACATGAGTAAATATTCGAATCCATGCAACTACAGACACGTGGTTTGGTTTCATCAGAAGTTCCCATGCATGTACGTCCTGCGTACCGACATATATAGAAAAAACTTAAGATAGTAACAACTACATAATATATATAGAGAGAGAGGAATGTTATAGGGACTTTATTTGGGGATCTAATGATGTGGTTTAGAGATTTAATGCTATAGGAATTTATATATATATAGAGAGAGAGAGAGAGTAATGTTATAGGGACCTTATTTGGGGAGTTAATGATGTGGTTCTAACGCAACTATTAGATTAGTTGTAAGTTCCAATATTAGATGAATCTCACAATCAATCCAATGGTTGTATTAAATTGGGCCCCTAAATTAGGTCCAAATAGTATTTTCCATATATATATGTATGTATACGGACAAAGCTATGGTCCCGACCTCCAAATTTTACAACTTTTGTGGGCTTTGATACGAGTTTTGCGGTTTATTTATAATAAAAAAATTACTATTTTTTAGGTTAAGTTACATTTTTTATGATTTAAAATTGTTGTGTTAACTTGTGATTGATCCTAAAAATGTTGTCATCGATCCTACATTTTTAGGATCGATTGAAAGTTATCACAAAAGTTATAAAATAATCCTAAAAAATTATTAAAAAAAAAACCCATAAAATTTTTAATGGTGGTATGATACCATTTTTTTCACTACCGTTGAGTTCTCCTATATTTGTGTGTGTATGGATTGTCATATATTTAGTCAAAGGGAGGGAGAGACAGGAGCATTCGAGGAAGCACCCATATGTCTGATTAATAGCATTAATTAAATAGGTGAGAGATGGGTCAAAACTAAGAAATTAAAGCCAGCTGTTTTGTGCATTGACAAACAATACTTAAACTTAGTCATAATTATTCATGCTTACTTGTACCATTCTTTTATATTTATTTATTTAAACTAAGTCGTAAGGTTTTTTGTGTACCCCTTATTCGAGGGGCTCTTGATCCGATGGTAAGCTCTCATTCACTCTTTAAGTAAGTCCGTTAGAGAGTTATTTGAATATGGTAGAGTTAAGAGTCAAACAAATTGCAATAATATAACAAGGGTATTGTCTCTAAGACCTTGTAATTTGTTGAACTTTTCTGACATACTTAAGGTTTTTGAATTACATTTATGTCGGCTAGTAGCTAGCCCAGGTACTGCTTCGTGGAAGAAACATTATGTATCTTTAAACTTCAAAGTTTTTAAATGTGCAATTAGGATCGTGTCCTGCTGCATAAAATTGCTGGAACAAGCAATATGGGTTTGCTTTAATAGTTAAAAAGTCATTCCAAAGACAATCTAGGATCAAATTTCATCGATCTAGTTAGTCGATGGGAATCCAAGTAAAACAGTTTTACTTATAGTAAGAGTGAAACAGTTTTGGATAACTCGTTCGCATAGTTAATTAATTATTCGCAAATTTTAATTCATAGATGAAGATCTCATACCTATGAATTAGGTTATGATTTTCTTCTCTACTTTGCGAAGAACTAAGGAATTCCGGATCCATGATCAAAAAGACTGAAAAGGAAGAGAGATTTATCATCTTGGATTCAAGAAAGAACACAAAAGAGATATTCTAAGAAAACAAAAATGAGTAAAAACACTCAGAGACATACACTGTATTATGTCTAAAGAATTACTGTACAGCTCTTCATGTGGGATATGAACAATTAAACAAGTATTTATTCACAAGTGATATTAATCAACAACTTTATACAGGTAATTCCGGTTGAAGTTGAGGTTCTTCAATACATTTTGTAATCCTACACGCAATCTGGCTCATCTCCGGTCTTGCTTCAGAGTTTTCAATCAATGCCCAGTTGGCGACATGAATCAACATCCGTAACTGCTCAACATTCACATCCCCATCGAGTTTTGGATCCAATAATCCCAGTAGAACCTCCACATTCTCATTTTTCCGGCAGTCCTCAGTCCATTCTGCTAGCGTCGTGGAGCCTTGCACAGATTTCATCCCAGTGATGAGCTCAAGTAATAACACTCCAAAGCTGTAAACATCGCTTTTAGGTGACACAAGCCCCGTGTTAAGGTAATTGGTGTCAATATAGCCCAGTGAGCCTTTTACAGTGGTTGGTGTTTGGGCTGTTTGGGTGTCGTGGCCCAACTTGCAGAGCCCAAAGTCTGCAAGCTTGGCGTGATTATTGTTGATTAGCAGGATGTTGGATGATTTGATGTCTCTGTGAATGACCGGAGGGTCAGCCACGGCATGGAGGTAGTCGAGAGCATGGGCAATGTCGAGGGCGATGCTCAGGCGGCTTGACCATGAAAGTATGCCAGATGATTGGCCATAGTGTGTGTGCATCCGATCGAAGAGGCTCTTGTTTGGCACGTATTCTAGTAGTAAAAGTTGTTCTCCTGAAAAAACATAAGAAGAATTCCATGAGTTACATTTAATAACCATTTGAGTGATGAAGGCTTCTGTTAAAAACTTCTAAGCCCTCTAGAGCTTGAGCTGGCGGTCCAAAAGAGGGCCGGGCCAGGTATGGTCTGCAATAAAAGGCCCATAGGGGTTATGGATGGG